CCAAAATTTGGATGATTTTGAATATTCACTTGAAAAGTTATCAAAGAAAAACATTTTTCATTTTGTAACTTCGAGGGCCCGTTACTTGGTAACGAAGGATTTTAGGAAAAAAAGTTATATGAAGTACTGGTGATATTTTGACCCCATCTATACATTCCCGAGAGGAAAAGAGGAAGTCCAGGGACACCCTGTATATTTGAAGTTAGAATGGCATTTCAACCAAATATAAAAAAACCACTAAGAATCAAAACATTAATTTATTGGAACCTCTGGAGACACCCTACATTTTATTCTATGAGAGAACATTAGCAGATCAAGATCTTCAGATGATGTGGTGCTGCAGGTTTTTCCGGTATTTCCTGCAGCTGAAAAAGCAAATGCGCCACTAGAATCAGTCAAGACGCCCCGGGGCGCCTATTAATTTTTGACGTTGTTTCATAATTTGTATTAGTTCAATTTAAATATATCCAAGAAGTGAGGAAAAAACATACATATTATGGTTCTAAAAATACCAATAATGTATATGAGTTATTTTGTAAATTCAACGTAACTCTCAGAAATATCATCAAATGAAATTTTGCAACATGAACCCAGAGTTATGCTACAGCCATAATTTTACCTAATTCTTTTTTAAATATTTACAGGGCTATTAAAATTCACGACTTTCCATGAGACTCTTATAAACAGAAGAGATGAGAGAGGGTAAAGTTTGACTATTTAAGAGTATTATTGCATGTCATCCAAAAATTGAATATATTTTGGAGATGTACAGAAATTACCAGAAAATGCGAAATTTCATTTGTTTTTTCATATATTTTAATTTGCAGACTTATTGGTAATCTTTTCAAACTTTGCCATGCGAACTTTCAGAATAATGAAAAATTATTTTATTTAAACTTTGTTAAAACTATAAAGTTTTCCTAATATTACAAAAAGGAGTTTTACATTTCTCTCATCAGAAAGTCTTATTTTCACATGACACACATAATTTAATTATTAAAATAATGACTGCGATTGTGATTCTTAAGATGTAGTAAAGCAAAACAAATTGGGGGGCGCTAGAAAGTAATTAATTATCGAAGTGGGCGGTAGAGAAAATGAGTTGGAGACCCTCTGATTTACGGCATAAGGTGAACCTCGGCTCATTTTTTTTATGAAAGAAGGCATCTATGTCTAATATATAAAAAAGTTGAAACATCTGGTCATGCTAACTTCAGAAAAGTTACAGTGCTTTCTGCCTTCTCAAAAATACTAGAAAAAGTAATGTAAATTATTCTGTTGTTTTTTTTTTTAGATTTTCATAATATACTCCATACTAATATGACTTCAGAATAGGGTTATCCAGCACAAATGCCAAGGTTTCCCTAACAAAATATTATGGATGGTAAAGATAAGGAGAAGCGTTCCTGTGTGTGAAAAAGCGTCCGTTAAAATGTGCTAAATAAGGGTGGTGCTACAGTAGCCACATAAATAAAATGATGTTAAAATTAAGAGAGATCCAACAATTGAAAAAAAAATTCTACACAGCAATTGAAAGAAAATTTTCCAATAGTGACTATTTTAAACTTTATTATTATAAAAAATTGTAAAAAATTATTGAAGAGAGAGAGAGAGAGAGAGAAATACGTTTATTGTCCTAAGAAAGAGTTCTTGTTGACAAACGATTATGAACTATGTCAAAGTAGCAGGGGGAAGTCTGATCAAGTTAGCTTGATGTGTATTATATGTGACTCGTTTACATCATCTTGAGCAGATATATTTTTATGAATCAGACTGACTGTTTCAAGAATGCATAGAGATATTATTGTCAGAATTCGTTGTTCAATGAATAATGGTTTGCAGTGATCTTGAAACTTTGCCCCGCACACATACCGGGCAGCTCGCTTCTGTAAAACGAAAACAGTCTGCAGCATGCTTTTGCTTCATACTTTCCAGAAGGCAATACCATATCTTCTATGTGCATCTACAAAGGCAAAGTGCGCAGATCTTGCAAAGGTTCTACCCAGTTCCTTCGAAACTGACTTCACTACAAAGCAGCCAGATGCAAGTTTTTTATTCAACTTGATAATATGATCCTCAAATTTAAGCTTATTATCAATGTGAAGTCCTAAGAATTTGGAGGACACATACTGTTGACTGGAAGTACGACAAAGACTGACGTCGATCATCATTTATATGTTTCAATTTACGCCCACTTGGACAACTTTTCACTACGCAAATTTTGCCCATTATTGCTTACAATGTATTATAACAGTAAGCACTACAAAATCACAAAAAGTATTATTAGAGCTGATAATAAAATTCAATCGACCTCTCCACATTTCACCACAACAATAATTTTTGGTTGTATTGACGACCTTAATTCATATCATACCCTGAGCCTATGCTAGCGGCATTCTAGAGGGTTTTTGAACTGTTATTTAGTCTCAAAGTTGGATACTTTTTCATGCTTCCACCCATATGAGGTTTTCCTTACCTCTACCCTCCAAACAAAATATATTGAGGATTGTTTTGAAATTGAAGACGAATATCTGGGAATCTTTACTGATTTATCTGCTGATTTGACTTGTATTAACAGTGAAATCAGCATTTTTAGATTTTTCTTGTATATTTCTGGAACCAAAAAAAGCTAGTCAATTTTGGGTATCATTTTGCCACAATTTATCCAACTCCTAATCAGAAATCTAGCATTGAAAAGTTTACATTTTTGTTTGATATTGAAACCAATATGGCTGCCGGTGACAAGTTGGGTGACGAGCTCTCCGAAAAATCATTTAAATGCTGTGTGAAACAAAAAGTAAAAATCGCCGTGTGTATTACGTGTGGAAATGTTNTGAATAAAAATGTTCATCACTATGACACTAGAACAAAAAATAGATTTCATGTGCCATATGCAAGACTAAGAATAACTTCATTTGCACCAGAATACATTGGAATAAAAATATTCGACAAACTGCCCGATCATTTAAGGGAAGAACATAATTATGTGATGTTTAAGAGAAATTTAAAGAGTTTTCTAATTGAACAATGTTTTTATTCATTGAATGAATTTTTTAGATTAGATAAGTAGGGTATTATTTTAGTTTTAAGGTGTTGTTTCAACTTGTATGTTTCTTATACTCTGTTTTTATCTTTATTTTTATTTCTTTTATTGAGTATTCCTATACAATGTATATTGTCTATACGGAAATAAAGTATTATTATTATTACAACACATAGAGGTATTTAAATTATAGATATTTCAACGATAAAAAGATATCAACTTGATATTAGGTTTCAAATTTGCAAACAATGGAAGTCCGATTCTAAGTGACTCAAAAATAAATTTGGCCAACTACAAACAAGCAAATACCTTGGTATCGGAGTCCGCCAGAAGCCTGAATATCTGGTCGGTGCCCAGAGCAGTGAGAATTTGTGATTTTAGCCTTTGTTCTGCCTGGAAGGCGAGGTTCATGAGAGCCCACACTCCATTCAATCGAAGACTGGGGCTAGGTTGCGATGTAATCGTTGCCAGCAGCTGTACCACTCCTTGTTGTATCATGGGCTCTTTCGCAGGTGAAAACTCCAGCAGCAGGTTGCAGAGCGCAGAAGACGCTGCAGTCAACAACTCTATGCTCGGGGAATCTTCAAAGAAACGACTTATCAAACAGATGGATAATCAGGATTCTGAAAAATACCTGTCAGTAATGCCATCAGGGGTCGCCACACAGAATGATCCTGGAAGGTAGTCCGAAGTTGTTGCACGGATCTGCTCAGAGAATGTAGACATCTCACGGCAGCTAATCTTACTTCTTTATTTTCTTCACTCAAACCAACCACCACCCTTTCCATCAAAAACTTTGTGTCTATTATCCTTTTTCTGATATCTTCATCATTGGCACCCAAAGAAGCGAATGCCCTACGGAAAATAATAATACTCTGAGAAATAGAGATAGGATAGGTCTGAAGCATTAGAATGATGTGTTTGTATAATAAATTGGCATTACACCATTACTACTCCACAGGAGGAGAGGATGATCTGAAAGAAAATATTAGATAGATAGACTTTATTGGCTACTTCACACACTGGTTTACAGCACCTCACATAGCACAAAAAATATTGAGAGACAATATGTAAAAATGTAAAAACAATCAAGTCATTCACAAAAACTTTTTTTTCAAATTACATTAAAAAGAATAATTCGAAATTCTTCTACACTATAAAAACAATTTTTTAGGAGTAGACATTTCACATTAGCCTTAAAATGTCTATCATTCAGGGAACCAACTTCTGAGCTCAACTTGTTATAAAGTTTCAAATTGAGGGAATTTGACTTC